GTACTTTATAATCCACTACATTTTTGAACAGGACTGAAAAATAAAAGTATTTTCATAATTGTCTGAGACCTGCTGAAATGTAAACAAACAAAAACACACTAATAAAAACAGCAACAAAAAATACTGATTCAGTTGTTTTCATTAAACAAATTTCAAATCAGTACAAGTGAAGCTTTATAAGACGTCAAAATCTGTGCTAAATTAATAATAATTAATAATAATTTTACTTTTCACTCTACGTACATTTTTAAACAGGTACGTTAATACCTTTACTACATTTTTTCATGTGATACTTTTACTATTTTTTGATCCGGTATCTGTACTTTTACTTATGTAACAAAACTGAGTACTTCTTTCTTTTCTGTTTGTAAAATTTTTGTATAATTTTACAAACAAAAATACAATTGAACAAAGATTAGTGTGACCAGATTTTCAAAATAAAAATCTGGGACACTCTCGGTTTGTGGCAGTTGGTAAAAATAAAATTGTGAAACGAGTGTGTGAGTCAGTATAGTCACATTTTCTTTGTGTTTTGGTTGTTTTTATGCAGCTTTTCTGTATTTTACCTAAACAAATGTTGGCAGGGATCAGATTGGTAAAAAATAGGGACACCGGGGACATTTCTTGTATTAAACTGGGACAAATCTGCCGGGACACAAGGTTAAAAACTGGGACTGTGCCATTTAACTAAGATTAAATGGCAGAACATAACCGTGAAACAGCGCCCCCTTTTGGTTACACTCGAGACATGACACTTGACATTTCATGCAAATCGTGAACTCTTTCTTTACTTTTCTGCTTGAGTGAAGAAGAGTATGTTGTTACAGCGGATCGAATCGGCTCTTTGGAATTTTTTTGGAATGCCACCTAATTCCAAACTCCACTTGTGCCGTTTTTTGCAACAATGTGGGTTTAATTTTCAGTCTTGGCTTCCATAAAAGAAAATAAACATTGGTGTATTAATAGATGATAAAAGAATGGAATTTGGTATCAACAAGTTATTGATTTTAGGAGAACACATTATTTAGAAACGCTGTTTTTTGAAAGATAAAAACCAAACGTGGAACACTTAAAGACTGACCTGAGGCTTTTTGTTGTCTCATTGGGCCTAGTTGGGAGAAAGGAGGCCGGGTTTCTTGAGCCCTTTTTGAGTGAGTCTGTTTTGTTCTTTTGAAATGGAGCTTTGAAATAGCCCTTTTTGTATGTAAATGTGTTTTTCTTCACTGTTGGGTTGTTGGGTTTTGGTGATCTGTGTACTTTTGTGAGGTGCCTATTTTTTTTAATAATTTTTTTTTTCTTGAGCATTTGTTGGGTTCAGGTGATCTGTCTACTTCTGTGAGGTGCCTAATTTTTTTTTAAATTTTTTTCTTGAGCATTTGTTGGGTTCAGGTGATCTGTGTTCTTTTGTGAGGTGCCTAATTGTATTTTATTTTATTTTATTTTTTTTCTTGAGCATTTATTGGGTTTTAGGTGATCTGTGTACTTTTGTGAGGTGCCTAATTTTTATTTTTTATTTTTTTTCTTGAGCATTTGTTGAGTATTAGGTGATCTGTGTTCTTTTGTGAGGTGCCTAATTGTATTTTATTATTTTTTTTCTTTTTTCTTGAGCATTTATTAGGTTTTAGGTGATCTGTGTACTTTTATGAGGTGCCTAATTTTTTATTTTATTTTTTTCTTGAGCATTTGTTGAGTTTTGAGTGATTTGTGTACTTTTGTGAGGTGCCTATTTTATTTTATTTATTTATTTATTTATTTTATTTCAGAACCCCAGAAGTAAACAAACAGGCACCAAACAGGATCACTTCAAAACCAAAACACAACAAATGCGCAGAAAAAAAAAAAAAAAAAAAGACGTACAAAAAAAGACAGAAGAAACCCGGCCTCTTTGCCTTTTTTGTTTTATATCTGGCTTTCTGCAGTATTTAAAAAAAAAAAAAAAAGTGTCTCAATTCCGGTTTTACGTCGCTTGCTTCCGCTATAAACGTAGCTTGAATCCGTTTCTACGTTACGTCGTTTCCGTAAACCTTTCGCGAATCTCACTAGCTTCGTTCAATTCACAAACCCCGCCCCTTTTTCCCTTCACCGACCAATCAGACGACGATTTGCAGCGCTCCAGCCAATCACAGCGCGGCCTGGCTCCCCGTCAGCCGCTGCGCCCGCCCTCCCGCTTTGTACCGTTTTGGCGGCTTGTGGGAAACATGGCGGAATATTTGAAAGGTAAAACTACTTAAAAACTATAAATTATTAACGTTCTGCAGCTTTGAATATTATTTAAGTGCAAAAACTGAGCTTGTGGCGGCATAATGTCTCGCTGGGCTGAAATTTAAACAAGCGACGAAGCGCAAATGTTGCAAACAAGGCAGAGTTTGTCTTGCACCGACACGGAATTAAACCTTGATGCGTACGCGCTCGCTTTCTTTGTTCATTTAACTTAATTTTGCTTATCTAAGTGCAAAATGCAACAGTGCAGTCTCGTGTTCGTGTTGTTTTTTTCTGATCTGTGCGTAATATTTAAGGAAGTAATATTTGGCACGCCGGAATTCACATTTTGGGCACCATATGCGTAATGCGTAACGCGTGAGGATCTTCCTCATCTGCTCTGAGTCCCATCATGTTCGAGTTAAACTAAGGTGACCACACGTCCCTATTTACCCGGGACAGTCCCAGTTATGAGCCCTGTGTCCCTTGTCCAGGCAGATTTATCCAAAACCACTAATTTGTCCCAGGTTTATGCAAGAAATGTGTCAGGTGTCCCAATTTTTGACCAATTTCATCCCTGCCAACAGTAAAGAGAGTCATAAATTGTAATTTGTTTAGGTAAACTACAGAAAAACTGCATAAAAATGACAAAATACAAAGAAAATGTGACTATATTGACTCACATTAGTCCCGAGTGCAGAACAGTTTCCCTTAATTATGCATTCATTTCACAATTTATTTATTGCCATCCAAACCAAACCAGGGATGTCCCAATTTTTTTGTGTCCCCTCTCCTAGAAGATTTATTCAAAACCAGTGATTTGTCCTAGTTTTATACAAGAAATGTCCCATGTGTCCCTATTTTGGACCAATTTAATCTAAACCAGGACTACATCAGGTCTAAAACAGGATTATCACAATTTTTGACCAATCTGTTCCCCACCAGCAGTAAAAAGGAGCATAAATTATCATTTGTTTTGCCAAAATACCAGAAAAATGTGTTTGCAAATGATCATAAAGCAGTTTTATTTACACCAAACATCCCAACCCGGGTGTGTCCCAATATTGACTTTTGAAAATCCGGTCACTGTGAGCTAAACGTTTGTGAGTAAAAAGGCGTTTTGTGTACGTTGCAGAGTGCCATGTGCCCTGTAAGATGTCCTGGGAGGAGACGGAGACGCTGTGCCGCCTGGAGGAGCTGTACTGTAAAGACCTGGGGGTGAACCGGACCAATGTGCACGAGTATGAAGTGGAGTTCATCTGCGACTACAAGAGGACCAAGGTACGAGTCGACTACTCACTCCAAGCACCATAAGAAAGATACGTGGTTCTGGGAGTCTAAAAACAGGACTGTACCAGGTCTAAAGTTGGACTATTAAAGGTCCTATATTCAGTGTTGGGGAGTAACAGATTTCATGTACCGGAGTTATGTAATCAGAGTACAAATTATGAGTAACTGTATTCAGTTACAGTTACTGTTTCAGTGAGTGGTAATTGGATTACAGTTACTTGGTTGAAATAAATGGATTACACAGAGGTATTTTCCTGTTTTCACATTTTTTTCACATTTCACTTTTTATTTTTTTATTTTTTTGGTAATTCCACTCATTGCCGAACACTAAACCAGGTCTAAAACCAGGTCCAAACCCAGGTCCAAACCAGGTCTAAACCAGGTCCAAACCCAGGACCAAAGCCAGGTTTAAACTAGGTTTAAACTAGGACTAAACCAGGAGTAAACCAGGACTAAAACCAGGTCTAAACTATGTCTCAAACAGGATTTAACAGGACTAAATCATGCTGTCTGGACATGTCTCCTCGTCTTCTATCAATAATATTTTTCATTTGGTTCAGTAAAGTCTGGGCTTTTTATTTTCTTTTGGCAGATAAAAAATCTTATGTTACGATTTCCTCGTCTTTGCTTCTCTACAACAAACCAAGTAATCCAAAGTATTCAGATTACATTACTCACTTTAAGTAATTTAATGGATTACGTTACAAACTACATTTTGGTGTATGTAATCTGTAATCTGTAGGGGAATACATTTTAAAAATCTCACTCCCAACACTGCCTATATTACAGAAAATGGATTCTTGTGAGCTTTAAGTCCTGTTATAATGTTGGTATCAGACCTGGACCTGTCAGATGAAGAGAAAATGTAGAGCTCTTCCTGTTAAAATAGCTGTACAGACGCTGTATGAGGGTTAAACACACGTATGAGTAACCGTTTATTATTAGTTTCTCTACATCTCCAACGTCAAAAAATGCTCTGTTCCACTTTGTGATGACATGTAGTGGTAGTTTTCAAGTTAACAGCCCCTTTTTACAGTACGCTCTGTAGAAATGGGCAAATTCAAGTCTGAAATGATCCGAATGATTCTCGTGAAGGTGTATGGAGTTTCAAAACAAAGTGGAGCACCTACTGTATTACCACATGACATCACAAGGTGGAACAGTGTTTTCTGATTGAGAGAATAACTTAAATATGCAGGATTTGTTCGTTAAACATGTGTGAATGAAATAAAACACAGCTCCAGGTCTTTGTGATGAGGAAACGTAACATAAATCAGAAAATATCGTAATATGAACCGTTTAAAGTGCATATGACAGATTAGACCAGACACGACAGACTTATAATATATTTGGCCTGCGAAATCATATTAAAATATGTATTAGAGCTGCCCGCCAGCTACAGAGACTGTAGAGACATTATTTATTTAAAATTGTGTTATTACTTAACATTTATTTTAATGAGAAAAGGTTTAACATTACAGATCTTGAAAGATGAGAAAACATGCAGGTGTGTAAATATTTAGTTTGGCTACAACCTAGTCCCAGTTTTTAATTTTGGCCTCTGTGAATTTGAGTTTGACACTGCGGGATTAGACGATTCATTTGACTAAAACATAGTTATCATCATAATATTAAAGATTTTACAGAAAATCCTGCCCTGTTTATAATTTCCTGGAGCCATAATGTAAACAGGACCAAGACTTGTCTAAATTACACAGTAGTTATGATCAGACTATTACACCTTTGTTTTGTTCAATTAAATTAGATGAAGTATTAGAGGTGCATTTTAGAACTAAGTGCTACTTCCTGTGTTTTTGTACGGCTTCTTGACTGATGTGAAACTCTGATAAATATTTACCACAGGTTTCAGTCACCAAACGGTGACGGGTGGTAGAACAATACAGGATTACTCAGACATGTATGAATTTAAATATAGCGCTGAGTAATTCCCCTTTTAAAATTTGTAAAAGTTAAACTATATAAATAAATTCTTAGAGTAGAATGTGCGTCATAACTCTCTTGAACAAAGCCTTGTGTGGTGTTGCAGGAGGAGGAGTTCTACCTGGTGAAGTGGCGAGGGTTTGCGGAGGCGGAGAACACGTGGGAGCCAAAGTCCAACCTCAAGTGTCGAAAACTGATGAAGCAGTTCCACGTGGACCTGGAGAAGGAGCTGCGCCGCCACAAGAGGCGCTGTGTGCCGCGCAGACTGGACAAAGAGATCTCCTCGCTCCTCGCCAAAAAGGCCAAACTCCGGCAGAGACTGGAGCGCTGGCAAGCCCACCTCAACCACACCAGCAACCACCCCGGCCGCATCTACGTGGTCAACGACGTGGACCTCGAGGGACCGCCCAGAAACTTCACCTACATCAACAACTACAAGCCCGGCCCGGGCATCGTGCTGGATGAGATGGCCGTGGGCTGTGAGTGCACTAACTGTATAGAGGACCCGGTGGACGGGTGCTGCCCTGGCGCCTCTTTGCACCGAATCGCCTACAACGAGAAGCAGAGGCTGCGCGTGCGCGCCGGGGAGCCCATCTACGAGTGTAACTCCCGCTGCAGGTGCGGCCCCGACTGCCCCAACAGGGTGGTCCAGAGGGGCATCCAGTTTGACCTGTGCATCTTCAGGACGGAGAACGGGCGCGGCTGGGGCGTCCGCACGCTCCAACACATCAACAAAAACACCTTCGTCATGGAGTACATCGGAGAGGTGAGACACGGGCTCCGAGGCGCGGGCCCCGAGACGATCTGAGCAACACTGGGCCGCCACACACTCTTCAAATGTGTTGTGCTCAGAAATCTAAAGCAGCTCCTTGGTGCTGTGAGGCAGAAGTGCTTAACACTTTGACACATGGGTCAAAGTGTTAATCTCTTTGAGTCACTGTTAAGAGATATTTATGTACATTTAATGCCAAACTCAGCTGCTTCTTAGACAACCTTTGGGTGTCCCCCTGCAGTGCTTCTGAGGCCCCCAGGGGGCCCCAGACCTCCGTTTGGGAACCACCAGTTTACATCGTCTTCACTATGATGTAGTTGTATTTTCACCTTAGTGCAGCTGTCACATCTGAGGACGTCCCCACACTCACCCACTGCTCCTGACAGGCTGAACAAGCAGGTCCTGTTCATGAGAGTTTGTACGTGTCAGAAGAGGCGCCACTCACTGTCCGAACACAACTGACACTTTGAAAAATGGACCTTATTTTATGTTCTATTTTGTGGTGCATTAGGTTTTCATGTTTGTCTGGAGACACAGTCCACGTCACACAGCGTTTTGTCCCTTGAAAAGACGTGACTGTGGAATCTTCTGTTCCCAGATCATCACCAACGAGGAGGCGGAGAAGCGCGGCCGTGAGTACGACAGTCAGGGCTCCACCTACCTGTTTGACCTCGACTACGTGGAGGACGTGTACACGGTGGACGCCGCGCACTACGGAAACATCTCCCACTTTGTCAACCACAGTGTGAGTATGACCCCTCACCCCTGACGCTGAGAAAAAAACCCCAAAGGTGTAGGGAAGGGCATCATGACACCGCTGCCTTGTACTGGAGGCCTCATATTCTCTCATCTGTTCTGAGTACAGTGTGTATGTACTGAGTCGTGTAGAAGCCATTTCTCTGTCCATTTCATAAAGTCCTAAAGAGTTCCAGAGTGTCGTACAGATCCAGACCCAGACCCAGGGGGGCACAGAGTCTCACAGTGAACTCCATGTGGAATTTTAATGGGTGCAATTAGCAAATTGTGAATGCTGCAGTTTTTGTTTTTGATCATTAAGAATTTCATCGATTATGTTCATCTTTAATCGACAAACCGAATGTAGGTTGCTATGCGTAGCGTAGGGTGACCAAACGTCCGTGTCCAGGGACAAACAGGTCCATACATGTGTCTCTGCATCAGAAGGAGCGAGACACAAACAGTCGGTCAGTCTGCAACATGCCGAAGCGCAAATGCGTATTTAACGATGATTTGTACAAGAAATTCCACGCTTTCCGTTGTGGCCGGGACAAGTGTGAGTCCATGTGCACAGTGTATAAAGCAGCACATATGTGTCGGTGTCCAGTGGGAAAAAGTTTTGCCAGGTGAGAGTCGCTCAATGTCAATGACGAGTCCCCACCTCCCACCTTGCGTACGGTGTCCTGGATTTGACAAACGCAAATCTGGTCACACTAACCTGTATTCCACTGAGTCATGTCTTTTAGTCCGACAGAAATTGAACCACATCAGCGACAGAAGAGCTGTTCTTTTTCTTGGCTTAGTTTATGCAAATTAGTCATGTGGTTTTAAGTTTTGTTTCTGTGAGAGTTGTGCAAATCTTCATTAAACACATAATGTCAAACGGACTGATGTGGCTCTAGAGTGGTTATGGTTTATATGTCGTAAAGTTGAATTTCTTTATGCAGATTAGTAGTGCAGATTGTAATAATAATGATGATAATTTTAATATAAAAACGTTAATGATTAATCAATAATCGATTGTTATTTCTCCTGACGATCGATTAAGAAAATTTAATTGAATGCCCATCCCTAGTTGGGAACGATTCGCGGATCGAGGATTTAAAGCCGGAACAAAGAGAATGTTTGGTGAATTTTATCAAGAGTCTTTCTTCCTCCGGGATTTGGGGCATTACATACGTCATGACCAAACAGCAGCGATTGGTTAAATAAAAAAATATTCGCCTACTGTCGAGTGAACGAATCTTAATGCTGCGAGGTCAGACGGTTTCCATGAAGTGAAACCGACTGAATGCTACGAATCTCATGATGAATTTCACAGTTTTTGAGATATTTTGAAGCTTCGAACGTCGTGATTTTGATACAGATTTGTGCCGAATTTTCCTCAACACTTGAGAAACACTTGAATTCATATCTTTTCTCTTACCGTTTTATTTAGATTTTTTTTATTTTACTACCTACTACTACTAAACTACAAACATGTTAAAAGTAAGAGGTTATTTTTAGCTTGTTTGTTTCCTCCTCAAGTCTCAAACAATCAAAAATATTTCTACTTTTGAGTCCTGTTCAGAGTACTTTTTGACTTTTACTTTCCAACTTTCCACCTCAGTACAGATGTAAACTACAGGGTTTTATGCAGAATAAGCTGGGAGACTTAGTTGATTGTGGTTTTTAAAAAATGCAGCATTTGAGATTTCAGTTTGATTGCATTAATCTTTGAGCTGTAGAGCCGCCCTCTTCCTCCTGACGGTGCTCTTCCTGTGCGTCGCTGGAATGGAGAAGTCAAATCTGTCCAATGTTTGACGCTGCACAAAACGCTCAGAGCCGACTGTTAGAAACGGGTGTGTCTCTGAAATATGTTGTCAGACTCTCAAGACGAACCGCCACCCACCCACACACACACATGAACACGCATGTACACACACCCCAGGCTCTGTAATCTGCACCGTGCACAACATAACACCCAATTCCAGTTATAAGACACCACTTTACCCAGTTTATTGTGTTCATTTTGGCTCCTTCTGACTCGCTCCCATTGACTTACATTAGAATATCGTCGTCTCTCTCTCTGTACCTGCTGCTGTGAGCCTCGTCGTTTTGGTCTTAAAATGTTTGGATTAACCTGCTCTACATCAGTGTTTCAGTCGCGACCCTCAGGTGGCGCCATCTAGTGCCTCCGTTCAGTTTCATTTCTCTCCAGCAACTAGGTCAGGAATCAAACTACAATAGATGGTTCGGAAAAACCCCGGAAGTGCGAGTTCGGGCACCAGCCAATCAGCAAAGAGCCATATATTCTGTGTTGTCAACGATTCCCGAGATCGAGGATTTAAAGCCGGAACTAAGAGAATGTTTGGTGAATTTTATCAAGGGGAAAGACGTTATTGTCCTTCTTCCTACAGGATTTGGGAAAAGCTTAATATACCAGTTAAGGATGGGCATGATTACTCGATAATTGATCATTAAGAATTTTATTGATTACGTAAATTTTAATCGACAAACCGACTGTAGGTTGCTGTGCGTAGCGTGATCAAACAGCGTATTTAACGATGATTTGTACAAGGAATTCCAGGCTTTCTGTTGCGTTCGGGACAAGTGTGAGTCCATGTGCACAGTGGATAAAGCAGCACATATGTTTCTGTGTCCAGTGGGAAAAAGTTTTACCAGGTGAGAGTCGCTCAATGTGGATGACGAGGCCCCGCCCCCCTCCCCCCGTACGCTGTCCTGGTTTTGACAAACACAAATCTGGTCACACTAACCTGTATTCACCTGAGTCATGTCTTTTAATCCAACAGAAGTTGAACCACATCAGCGACACAAGAGCTGGAGTTTTATCTTCACTGAGTTTATGCAAATTAGCGATGCAGTTTTAAGTTTTGTTTCTGTGAGATTTGAACAAAACTGAATTAAACACATTATAATGTCAAACAGCTGATGTGGCTCTAGAGTCGTTACGGTTTATATGTGTAAAGTTGAATGTATTTATGCAGATTAGTAGTGCAGATAGTAATAATAATGATGATCATTTTAATATAAAAACGTTAATGATTAATCGATAATCGATCGTTAATTCTTCCGACGATCGATTAAGAAAATTTCATCAAATGCCCATCCCTAATACCATTAAATGATAAAAAGTACCCGCCTACTGTCGAGTGAACGAATCCTAACACTGTGAGGTCAGACGGTTTGTACGAAGTGAAACCGGCTGATGAATCAGGCTACAGAAATGCTTGGTTGACCAAAAAATAGGGAATAAATGAGCAAAGGTCAGAGCACTTCAGGGAAGCGAGGGAAGTCAGGAGCCAGTCTACAATGAAGCTGGTGCGAGTGTTGTCAGAACTGAAAATAACAGATGGAAATGAGGCATTAACGCTGTGGAGCAGGGATCCCCCAGCAAAGAAAAGAAAATGACCAGCAAGGCCGTGCAAAGACTATTTTTTTGAGTTATGGCTTTATAAATTGTGCTGAAAAATGTGACTCATCTGCAGCGAAAAACAAGAGTCTGAAGCAGAGGAAACTTAAGAGACATTTAAAAACGCTGCACCTCGATTTGGCCGACAAACCCTTAGATTTTTTTTTTTTTAAGGAAAAACACAGGAGATTGAAACATCAGCAAATGTTCGATGGAAAAATGTCACATTAAATTACAAAGCCTGGCTCTCCTCTTTGGGATACACTGATGTGGTGTTTTTTTGTTCCTCAAAAAAATCCTGTTCCGAATAAAGAGCCTGGCTGCAAATTTGCTCCTGTAACTGTGAACATCAGGAGCTTCATTTGAGCTGAACGCTGTGAGTGATGTGAGTTTGAGAGAAGAACTTAGCCTAAATCTGCAGGGTTTATGTGTTAAACATGTGTGAATGTTTGAAATAAAACTCAACTCCAGGTCTGTTTGTGATGAAGAAACTGTACTATAACATAGATCAGAAAACAGCGTGATATGTGATACGTGAAGCGTGATTAAAAGTCCCCCCGTGTGTGATCCCGCCTCTCCTGTTTCTCCGCAGTGCACTCCAAACCTGCAGGTGTTTAACGTCTTCATAGACAACATCGACGAGCGGCTGCCCAGGATCGCCCTGTTCTCCACACGATCCATCTGCGCCGGGGAGGAGCTCACCTTCGACTACAAGATGCAGAGTGAGTCCTGCTCCGTGCGCCCCCTACAGGCCAGGGACAGAGTCAATCAAATGTCAATATCTGCATAGTACAGAAGCCGAGAGGGTCAAAACAAACGCAAACGCTGCAACAAATACAAACGCCACAACACAAACGAATAATGATAAAACAATAAATTACTTTTACTTACGTTTCCAACTTCTCCGTTCCTTTACTTTTCACGTTGTAGTTCTTCTTCTTCACTTGCCGCTTGATCGGTCCGTCGGAAAATAGAGTCCCGCGGTCACTTCCGTTGTGACTTTTTTTGGTGTGTTGTCGCATTTGTATTTGTTGTGACCCTTCTCGGCTTCTGTAGCATAGGTTCTTGTTATATTATAGGATTCCTTAGGGCTGGGTGATACGGAAAAAAAAAGAATCACTATTTTTTTCCTGTTGTTGATCGAGCTCGATTTTCGTTTTGAGCAGAGCAGAGTGTCAGGACCGCAAGAGTTTTTATTTTATGTTGACAGGACTGATAACTACAGATAAATCCACATGTAAAGTTTGGACTGAGTTTGTACAGTGTATTAAACCTAAATGCATAGACGTGTTATGGCTAACAACAGAAACACGATGTGCGAGCACTAAATAGGGGTGTGCAAAAATATTGAAATATCAATATATCGTATCGTTTAAAGTGAGGATACAGTATCGATATCGTGGGCTGCAGACTCGATATATCATCAGTTGTATTTTCTGATTTATTTTACTAAATAATTTTGTTACAGCTGAAGTTTTATTGTTTGTTCAGAGGAAGGAAACTTGTTTATGCGACACATTTTCACAGTTTTGAGCTGTATCTAAAAAATGATTTAAGTTCGATCCTTCAAATTTTCAAGGGTTAAAATTTGTCAAATTTACTTGAAGAATCTGGACTTTTACACATGTGCTTTTGGTTTATCACAGATTGCTCAAAAATTCTACTCTTCAAATCTGAGGGCATCTTTGAAGGACTGAGGAAAGTGCAGTTTCAAAGACAGAGGTTTGATATTGAACATAAACCTTCCCAAACACGCTGTGGACGTTGTATTTTAAAACTGACCCTCTGTGATGAACTCTCTACAAGATATTAAGTGTTAAAAATGCAAAGTGTCGTCATATTCCATGAATGCTCTGCCTGTATGCGGACACCCTCGTTTTCAAAATATTCATTTCGCGAAAAAGCAGAACACCATCACAAATTTTAGAAAACAGACATCTACTCTTTCTAAAACAGTCCATTTTATGTTGGTGGGTGCTGCAATTTTTTTGGTCTAACATGCTAAAGATGGCACCAAATTTATTCTTTTCCATTTTTAACACTTAATATCTCGTAGAGAGTTCATCACAGAGGCTCAGTTTTAAAATACAAAGTGTGTGTAGGAAGATGTATGTTCAGTATCAAACCTTTGAAATTTGTCTTTGAAATTGCACTTTCCAATTTTTTTTGTCTTTCAAAAATGCCCTCAAATTTGAAGAGGAGAATTTTCAAGCAAATTCACCCCCCAGAAATCTGTGATAAACCAAAATCACATGTGTAAAAGTCCAGATTCTACAAGTACATTTGACAAATTTTAACCCTTGAAAATTTGAAGGATTTAAAATAGTTTTTTTAGATACAACCATCTGAAAGAAAACTCTGCTCAAAACAGGTCAGGGGGGAGCTGACAAAATATTTTTAATGACAAAACTATAAGGAGTTGGGAGCTAAAATTTGGGACTTTTCCTATTGGAAAGTGTGTGAACTTTCTAGAATTTTTAAAGTCAAATCTGAGCTGGTCGAGTGGGGCATTTGGAGTTTTGGTGTGGCATGACCCAAACAAATAATCGGTTCATATACTGTATTTGCTGCATTGTTGTCTAAGCTACAGTGTTTGTGTTAAATTTATGTTTAAAAAGGGGATATTTTACTTCTAAGGGGTATTAACAGCTCACACATAACATATTTAGATCACCATGTTCCTTTTTATTGTTTTGAAAATGTTCTATTTGCTGAAAAGTACACCTCTGACTCTCCTGTGCCCTCTGGTGGCTCATGTGTGCAGTTGACCCGGTGGACCTGGACAGCAGCAGGTTGGACTCGAGTATCACGTTGACGGACCTGCCCCGCTCCCCAAAGAAGCGTCTCAGAGTGGAGTGCCGCTGCGGCTCTGACTCGTGCCGGAAGTACCTCTTCTGAAGTGGCCTTTCCTCCAGACTGTTATGAATTTTTGTGTGTGTGTTTTTACGTGTTCAGAGATAGTTTTATATGAACTACGGGAGTCTGTAACACCGCAGCATTGTTCCGTGTGGCTCAGACCGGGGCTGGGTACGGCTCACAGGGTTTCCGCACCGGTACCGTCACGCACGCGCTGGTTCTGTTCCTGTTTGTTCCAAAAGTCCCGCACCATCGGACAGAACAGTGAGCGCGGTGCCCGGCCCTGAACCACTGCTCCCTGCTTTTTTAAAGGCAAAGAGACTGAGCCAAACATGGAGCTCACAACTGTCAAGGAGACATGTGCTGCCCAACGGACTTTTCCATCTTATCACTGTGTTACTTTTATCCAGCAGCTGTGCCAGAGCATCTGTTTCCTCCAGTACAAAAGCCCCAGACACACTCCAGCTGTAAGTTCTGCACATCAGATCTGCTCCAGGGGACGACAAGCGAAAAACACAAGACTCACACTGTAGTAAAGTGACATGAAAAGCAGGGATGTAACAATAACCAAAATATCACGATATCGTATCGTCACAGTTCTCACAATAATGTCGTGGATCATCACAATATATCGAATTACAAGTCTCTTTGTTTAAATTGCCGTATTGTCCGGGCTATTAGGCGCTCTGGATTATAAGGCGCACTGTCATTAAATCGTCTGTTTTCAAACTTTTTTCACAAATAAACCGCACCGAACAATAGGCGAGTTTCAGCTGACGTCACTGTTATTAAAAGCCCGCGTTGCTGCTGGGAAATATTTTGATCGGAGGCAAGAAACACGGTAGCGTCAAACACAGTGCGTAACCTCGCGTATTTCTCCCCGATAATGGTAAATTCCTGCTGCATTATCGGACGCACACATAGAAGCATGGAAGAAGGAAAATGTCTTTTTCGTATTCCGAGTGAAAAGAACCACTGACGGTGAATTAAACGGTTTTCAAACATCCGCAGAGCAAACGTAGAAGATCCTAACAAACCGTGGACTCCAACAAGTTCAACAACACATCGAGACTCTTGGAGGTTTTCATCTTTTCTGCTGTGAATGGCCCAGGAGTTTCCACCAAGTCATTGTGGATATCACCAAAGTGAATATTTGTGCAGGTAGTTGGAGATTCTGACCAGAAATTTGGTTTGTTCCACCTTTTGTCGGGGTTGAAAAGGGTGATTTGTCGTCCGTCGATGTTTATGACCAATTTCTGGTCAAATGGTCTTGGGTCCTCTGCCGTTAGAGTGGATAAATAACCGGGATCAATACCCTTTACGTGCTTTCTCGCTCCGTCCGTCATGTTGAATTAGTGTTTCTTGCCGCCGACCAAAATAATTCCCAGCATGCAACGCGCGCTTTTGTCAACAATGTAAACTCGCCTATTGGATGGGTCAGTGGGACTTTGTTTGGCGCGTTCACGGTGACTCTGGGCTTTGTTCAGTTGTGGCGTGTAGGGAGTAGGGACGGGCATTCGATTCAATTTTCTTAATCGATCGTCAGGATGTTTTTATATTAAAATGATCATCATTATTATTACTATCTGCACTACTAATCTGCATAAATAAATTCAACTTTACGACATATAAACATAACCACTCTAGAGCCACATCAGCCCGTTTGACATTATAATGTGTTTAATTCAGATTTGTGCAAGTTTCACAGAAACAAAACTTAAAACCACATGGCTAAGTAACTAAGCAAATTAAAAAACAGCTCTTGTGCGCTGATGCGGTTCAGCTTCTGTCAAAATAAAGGACACGACTCAGTGAAATACAGGTTAGTGTGACCAGATTTGTGTTTGTCAAAACCAGGACAGCGTACGGGGGGAGGGGGGCGGGGCCTCGTCATCGACATTGAGCGACTCTCACCTGGCAAAGCTTTTTAATGTTTTTCTGTGTCCTGGTGAACTTTTTCCCACTGGACACTGAAACATATGTGCTGCTTTGTACACTGTGCACATGGACTCACACTTGTCTCGACCGGAATGGAAAGCGGGGAATTTCTTTTACAAGTCATCGTTAAATCCGCATTTGCGCTTCAGCACGTTGCAGACTGACCGACTGTTTGTGTCTCGCTCCTTCTGAGTTCAGAGAGACACATGTACGGACCCCCGTTTGTCCCCGGACACGGATGTTTGGTCACCCTACACTACGCACAGCAACCTACATTCGGTTTGTCGATTAAAAATGAACATAATCAATGAAATTCTTAATGATCAATTACCAATTAATCGACTAATCATGCCCATCCCTAGCGTGGAGTGATGAGTGTGTCTGTGGGTGTTTTTCTCTGTGCGGTCGCTGTCTGCTCCGTGTGTGTTTGTGTGTTCTGTGGGTGGTGCGGCTTTGTAGTTTACTGAAGTCGTGCTGGGACACCCAAGTGGATTCATGTATGGGGGGCTCTGGATTGTGGCGCGCAATCATTTTTTGATAGGGTTAGAGGCTTAAGAGTGCGTCTAATAGCCCGGAAAATACAGTAAAAGTTATGGTGCAGCAATAGATAAAAAAGACAGGGAACTACATAGACCACAGGTGTCAAACATAAGGCCCGGGGGCCAGATCCGGCCCTCCAAGACCTTTAATCTGGCCCTCGGCTGATGTTCTACTAAAATATTTTAATTATATTTTCTATTAAAATCTTGTTAATTTTCTGTGGTGTTTATCACAGCAGCGTCTCCAGCGTCTCTGTACGTGGCCCCTCCCACCAGAGCAGCACAAATGAAGACTTGTCTCTTTCCAAACGCTCTTAAAGGACGATCGTTTTGACTGTTGACCGTGACACCCTCATCAGAAAAATGTCCAACATGAGAAAAGTGGAGCCGAGTGCAGGATTTTACAAGAAAAATGGATTTATTCCTATTTACATACAAGTTCATGTTAAAACATTGTGTTAAAAATACATTGTTCTTAAAGTTTCAAAATAAAAATAAATAAGAGTTCATCAATTAAAAAACATTTCTATAATAGATTTGTGTTTCTCTGCACAAATATTTGAACTTATTGTTATTTTTGGGGTTTATATGACATGAGTTTTCTGATCCGGCCCCTTGGGGATCAAAGTCGATTGGATACGGCCCCCGGACCAAAATGAGTTTGACACCCGTGACATAGACCATGATCCTTTGCTCCATTTCAGTGCAGACTACAAGAAGAAATAACAGTTTTAACTCTTTAAAGTCTTAGTTCTTTGGATTAAGTCTTGTCAAAAAGTCGCATATTCACAGTTTTGTTCAGAGCCTCCACAAAATATCGCAATAAATATCTTACCGTGGGATGCATATCGTGAAAATACCACAGTGAGAGATTTGGATATTGTTACATCCCTAATCGTGAGCCTCCCCACCATATCGTGAGCTTAAATATCGTACCGTGACGATATCGTATTGTCAGACTTGGATATCGTTACAGGAAAAGTGTTTAAGTTATTGCCCCTCAGGTTCTGTTAGTGTAATTTTATCATTTACTCGGTGTAAAATGTGCTTACTCTGGTTTGCTGCTTTCTGTCGGGGTTTGTTCAATGATCGTGTTTGGAAAAGAAGTGAATTTATTAGATTGTTTATGTTGTGTAAAACATCGGCGTGAGGCACAAGGGCTCCCTCTGCTGGTGCACAGGAGAATAGTAGTTGCTAATATTAAAGTTGCTTAGATGTGCTCAAATAATCAAATCTTTTCATATTTTTGTAAAGGGATACAAGCTGCGAAAGAGAGTTTAGCAGAATATCGCTCCATAAGTGTCATTAATCTCATGAACTGAACTGAAGTGAAGACAGACCTTCCTCTGTGTGTCAAACATAAATACAGTGAATGATTTGTACATGTCTATTTACAAGAGAATCACCGGACGGCTGGTTTCAATATATTTGATTTATTCTTGAAATGTTATTTTTTAAATATATTTATACCAGTCCAATAATCCTGGATTATTGAGTAAATAAACTGAGTAAAAAGGATTCCACTGAGGGTGCATTTTCATTTGACCCGGTCCATCTGTATGTGCAGCCGTAAACGTCATGAACACCACCAAAACAGTTCACTCCATTAAAACTGAAGAGCACTTTTTAAACTTGTCACATGACGATGATGATGATGATGCCGCTGCCTTCATCTCAACAGAAGCTGAGTCCACGGTTCAGTATTAAAGACCAGTTCAGTGTTTTTATCATTAGGAAGACAACCAGTCTCAGACCTGGTACTTTTAGTTCCTCGTCCCACTGTAAGTGAGTCTAAAGTGACAGAACTTTTATGTGACAATATGAAATGATCTGAACATTTGTGTTTCTTGCAGCTCCTTCAGATCTGATTTGTTGCTAATTTTTTTTTACTTTTACTCTGTCATTTCTTGAACACCTGGAGCAGTGTGAGGTGAGGTTTATAAATGAGTCCACTGATGTTCTCTGGGCTCTTGGGGTCATTTGAGAGCTGCATGAGTCTCCCAAAGCCTCTGTTAGCATCATGTAGAAAACCAAAGGTTCCACAAAGGTCAAGTTACAGAAACAGAGACTTTTGTACACATGTCTCTGAGGCTGAGGGTCTCCATTTTCCCACCACAGAATCTTCATTTATTCTACTGGACATCTACATGGACAGGCCATGGCTCATGTGAAGCTCAAAACCTCCAGAATTCCCTCCCTGAGCTGCAGAGGCTGCACTAGCACTGACTCATGATCAGCTGCAAGTGCTGGAGTTTAAGGAGAGACCGTTCAGATCAGAGGTGTTTTAGGTTTAAACAAACTGGTGACCCCTGTACATGGTCCCATCTTAATCAAGAACAAATGTGTCTCAGGGCCCACAGCAGCACCTGCCCCGACAGGTGCGCTGACAGGTGCTCTCATGAGGTGAAGAAGGGCCGTCCGTGGATGCGCAGCACGCGGTAGGTGTTGAGTCCTGGTGAGTCGAATCCTGGGGACAAGCCCTTCTTATTAAACACATAGAAGTTAAAGAGCTGACGGTCCTGCGCCTCCAGAGACACAGAGGCAGAGTGCAGTTTGAGTTTACAGGGGTACGGACTGTCAAACACCACCCTGAACACTCGGCCCTGCAGGTGATCCAGTCGCAGGGTCCGGTACTTGGCCGGGACCGAGGAGTTCAACTGTGGTCCGAACTGCTGCATGACCAGCACCCCGGACGGGTCGGCTTTGATCTCATAGAAGGTTATGTTCCTGTACGTGAAGAAGCCCAGATATGGCTGTGGGTCCGGGGGGGCCCGGAGGGTGCGAGGAGCCTCCCTGAAGGCCTCCTCCAGAGCAGGGATGAGGTAGGAGTAGGCCTGCCTCACCAGGTCCTCCTCGGTGGGCCTCACGCCCGCCATGAGCAGCACTATGCCCAGCTTCAGCCGTGGCACCAGGGACAGAGTGGCGGCGTATCCGTCCAGGTCCCCGTCCTTACGCACCACGTCGTAGCCCATCTGCCGGTTGACCTCCCAGGGGGTCCCCGTGGCGTTGGCGAAGTAACCGGTGTGGCAGCGGAGCAGCGGGGTGAGCATGGTGGTCAGAGTGTCCTGACGCAGGAGTGAGGCCCCGGGGACCCCCAGCAGTGCCATGGTCAGCTTGGCCATGTCTGCGGTGGTGGAGTACATCTGCCCCGCCGGCCGGTACCAGCCCAGGTCGTACAGGGGGGCGGGCTGGCCGCTGCTGTACACGCCCACTGCCAGCGGTCGCCCTGACGACGACTGCCACTGGAAGCCGGTGTCGTCCATTTTGAGCCTCTGCAGGATGTTCTCGGACACCCAGCTCTCGAAGTCCTGCCCGGCCACCTGCTCCGCCAGCACCCGCGCCAACAGAGAGAACGCCACGTTACTGTAGTGGCACCTGCACACAGGACAGGAGCAGCTAAAGCCACAAGTCCAACTGTTTATGTTAAAAGGCCCATATTAGGCCTTTTTATCTGTTATAACAAACATGTCCAACTCAGGCCCGGGGGCCAAATGTGGCCCGCGAGATCATATCAAACATGTATTAGAGCTGCCTGGTGGTTACAGACTATAGACACATTATTTATTTAAAATGTTGGTATTATTTTATATTCTGCTAGTTCTGTTATTCAATGTTTAAGCAAAAATATTATTAAACATTTATTTTAATAAGAAAATGTTTAACATTACATATCAATGAAATTTCTCTATAAATATTTAGTTTGGCCCACGACTTAGTCCCAGTTTGTCATTTCGGTCTCTGTGAATCTGAGTTTGACAGCCCTGTGTTATGTCATTTCCTCGTCACCAACAGACCTGGAGTTGTGTTTTGTTTCTTTCACGTTTAACACACAAACCTGCAGATTTGGGCTGACATCTTCTCTCAGACTGAAAACTGTTCAGCTGTGTTGAGTTTCCGCACCTTTTACACTGGGAACCAAAGTGCTCACGGTGAACAACCCGCGTTCAAATCATTTAAGTGAACCCTGATGCGTCATGGACAGAGGGGGTGGATTTGCCTTCAGGGTCACCAAGGCCAAACCAAAGCAGATGTCACAGCGAGAAAATAACAATCATGGATCTCATCATCGACACCAGCGAGCGTTTGTACTCATACAAATCATTATTTATCTGCACCGAGCTCTGCTACGTCTGCTGTGGCAGTGACGCAGAATCCAAAGACGGAACCTCACCCGGCGAACGCTGATATAACAAGTGTTTGGTCTCTTCCACTGACCACTGCACAATCTTCTTGTGTGATTTCTCCACCATGTTCCACAAACACATTTTCTTTGTTTATTTTATCATGTGTGACCCAGATGAACCCGCTGACGTCTACTGTGTCGTCACGATTCGCTTAGAAAAAAATAGTTTCACTTGGTTCCCAAACGTCTGATTTTTGGCGTGAACACGTCAGTCGGTTCAATTCACCGGCACAGTTCTCTGCCGGCCTAAAAACACTATTTGTGATGTCATGCATACAGGAAGTGCTCCACTGTGTTTTTAAACTCCACACACCTTCACTAAAATCATTTGGGTGATTGGATTTCAGCTCTGGAATTGCCAATCTTTACTGAATTAAAGATAAAAGTTAGCCCGATTCATCAGCCGGTTTCACTTCGTAGAAACTGTCTGACCTCGCAGTGTTTGGATTCGTTCGCTCAACAGTAAGCAGGTACTTTTTTATCATTTAACCAATCTAACCGGTATATTAAGCTTTTCCCAAATCCCGTAGGAAGAAGGACAATAACGTCTTTCCCCTTGAAAAAATTCACCAAACTCTTTGTTCCGGCTTTAAATCCTCGATCTCGGGAATCGTTGACGACACAGAATATATGACTCTTTGCTGATTGGCTGGTGCCCGAATTTGCACTTCTGGGCTTTTTGCGAACCGTCTAGTGTATTTTGATTCGTGACCTAGTTGCTGGAGAGAAACTGTTCACTTGAAAACTCCCGCTTCATGACATCAGACAGACTAACAATAAAGTTTTACTCAAATGTGTGAATGAAACAAAACACAACTCCAGGTCTGTTTTTGAGGAGGAAACAACATTACAACATGACTCAAAGTTCACCAGAGTCCACGTTGTGTCCATTTATCTCGAGTTATACTGAGTCGTGTTGACGGTCTAAAGCTCGTGGTGACCTCTGACCTGGTCCCCGGGTCGGCCACCAGCACGTCGTCCTCCAGCAGCCGCAGAGCCTCCGCCGTGTCCCCCGCCCACAGCAGATTAGTCGAGCGTAATCTGCGCGGTAAACCTGCCGGGATTACACAGCCCTTTAGACCAGCGCGTACCAGAGCAAACACAAACACGGCGCACCTCCGTCACGATGAGCGCTAAAGAGACGCATCGGCGGTACAGGAAGTGCTCCGTTTGGATACTTGAAGGTGCGTTGCGTAACTTTTCTGGTGGAGGAGTTTCCGTCAAAGGCTTAACTTTTCTGCTATTGCTTTTGTCTGGAATGTTTCACAGTGCGGCTTTAAATCTTTCTATCTTCATGAATAGATGTAGGATGGAGATGTGGCGGGCCATGTAGCAGATAATACTCCCTACAATTAAAAGAACTCACCTTTACGGAACAGGTAATACTCCCTACAACTGTACAACAACTCACTATTATGTGACAGATAATACTCCCTACAACTGTACAACAACTCACTATTATGTGACAGATAATACTCCCTACAACTGTACAACAACTCACTATTATGTGACAGATAATACTCCCTACAACTGTACAACTCACTCTTATGAAACAGATAATACTCCCTACAACTGTACAACTCACCCTTATGAAGCAGATAATACTCCCTACAACTAAAACAACTCATCCTTATGAAACAGATAATACTCCCTACAATTGTACGATTCACCCTTACGAAACAGATAATACTCCCTACAACTGTACGACTCACTCTTATGAAACAGATAATACTCCCTACAACTGTACGACTCACTCTTATGAAACAGATAATACTCCCTACAACTGTACAACAACTCACCCTCGTGTAACAGATAATACTCCCTACAACTGTACAACAACTCACCCTCGTATGTAACAGATAATACTCCCTACAACTATACAACTCACCCTTATGTAGCAGATAATACTCCCTACAACTAAAACAACTCATCCTTATGGAATAGATAATACTCCCTACAACTGTAACAGACAATACCCCCTACAACTTATAATACTCCCTACAACTGTGCAACAGCTCACAATTATGTAACAGATAATACTCCCTACAACTGTACAACAACTCACCCCTATGTGACAGATAATACTCCCTACAACTGTACAATAACTCACCCTCACATCATCCAAAAAAACACCTCCTTGCCAAATTTCTACTATTTGGATGAACGTGACATTGTGACGATCGACCGAAGAAAAGTCAAAAGTGCGTAAAAAGTGCCAAACTATGTCACAGGGTTAAATGTGTATTACGTCAATAAAAATAAACGACTAAATAGAAATGAAAAAAAGGTGCGGTGTAGGTGTACCGGAGAGCTGGCTGGCCATCCTGCGCAGGCTGAGGGCGGGGGGGCTGTCTGGGGTCCAGGCGTTGGGGTCCTGGCTGCTGCCGCTGGTGCCCAGGGGGTTCTTGATGCTGAAGTGGGGCAGGTACTTGTCCAGGGGGTCGTCCAGGGAGGTGACGGACCCCTCCTCCCACAGCTTATACAGCATCAGGGTGGGGAAGAGCTTCGACACGCTGGCTATTCTGAAAACACACGCGACGCAAGACCACAGACGAGCTCAGGATCCAACAGATAATACTCCCTACAACTGTACAGCAACACACACTTATGTAACAGATAATACTCCCTACAACTGTACAGCAACACACACTTATGTAACAGATAATACTCCCTACAACTGTACAGCAACACACACTTATGTAACAGATAATACTCCCTACAACTGTACAGCAACACACACTTATGTAACAGATAATACTCCTACAACTGTACAGCAACACACTTATGTAGCAGATAATACTCCCTACAACTGTACAGCAACACACACTTATGTAACAGATAATACTCCCTACAACTGTACAGCAACACACACTTATGTAACAGATAATACTCCCTACAACTGTACAGCAACACACACTTATGTAGCAGATAATACTCCCTACAACTGTACAGCAACACACACTTATGTAGCAGATAATACTCCCTACAAATGTACAACAACTCATCCTTATGTAACACGTAATACTCCCTACAAATGTACAATTATGTTACATAATGGTAAGTTGTTGTACAGTTGTAGGGAGTATTATCAGTTACATAAGGGTGAGTTGTTGTAGGGAGTATTATCTGTTACATAAGAGTGACTTGTTATACAGTTGTAGGGAGTATTATCTGTCAAATAAGGGTGAGTTGTACAGTTGTAGATAGTATTATTTGTTACATAAGTGTGTGTTGTGCAGTTGTAGGGAGTATTATCTGTCACATAAGGGTGAGTTGTTGAACGCTTGTAGGGAGTATTATCTGCTACATTAGGGTGAGGTGTTGTGTAGTTGTAGGGAGTATTATCTGCTACATAAGGGTGAGTTGTTGGACAGTTGTAGGGAGTATTATCTGCTACATAAGGGTGAGTTGTAGGGAGTATTAGCAGTTACACAAGGGTGAGTTGTAGAGTTGTAGGGAGTATTATCTGTTACATAAGTGTGAGTTGTATAGTTGTAGGGAGTATTATCTGTTACATAAGGGCTAGTTGTTATACAGTTGTAGGGAGTATTATCTGTCAAATAAGTGTGAGTTGTAGGGAGTATTATCTGTTACATAAGGGCGAGTTGTACAGTTGTAGGGAGTATTATATGAGTACCTGTAGACTGTGTTTTCATCCGGGGCGGGGGACGAGGGGTCGCTCAGGTTCTGTTTGCCAAAGTGAGCGTTCCACAGAACAGAGTCGTTGAGCAGAACCACGGCGGAGATGGAGGGAAGTCTGGTGCTGATGTGAGAACGAAGGAGCACGTCCATCTGCACGGAGAGAGAGAGAGATTTATTATGTCACCTTATTACTCAGAGTCCTTATTCAAAGTCCTCCACCTGAACCACCACTGCCTCAAAGTCCTCCACCTGCCTCAAAGTCCTCCACCTGCCTCAAAGTCCTCCACCTGCCTCAAAGTCCTCCACCAGTGCCTCAAAGTCCTCCACCTGCCTCAAAGTCCTCCACCTGCCACCACTGCCTCAAAGTCTCCACCAGTGCCTCAAAGTCCTCCACCTGCCTCAAAGTCTTCCACCAGTGCCTCAAAGTCCTCCACCTGCCTCAAAGTCTTCCACCAGTGCCTCAAAGTCCTCCACCTGCCTCAAAGTCCTCCACCTGAACCACCACTGCCTGAAAGTCCTCCACCTGCCTCAAAGTCCTCCACCTGCCTCAAAGTCCTCCACCTGAACCACCACTGCCTCAAAGTCCTCCACCTGCCTCAAAGTCTTCCACCAGTGCCTCAAAGTCCTCCACCTGCCTCAAAGTCTTCCACCAGTGCCTCAAAGTCCTCCACCTGAACCACCAGAGCCTCAAAGTCCTCCACCTGAACCACCAGTGCCTCAAAGTCCTCCACCAGTGCCTCAAAGTACTTCTCCTGTTCCACCAGAGCCTCAAAGTCCTCCTCCTGCCCCACCAGTGCCCCAAAGTCTTCCACCTGAACCACCACTGTCTCAAAGTCCTCCACCTGAACCACCACTGCCTCAAAGTCCTCCACCAGTGCCTCAAAGTACTTCTCCTGTCCCACCAGTGCCTCAAAGTCCTCCACCTGCCCCACCAGTGCCTCAAAGTCCTCCACCTGAACCACCACTGCCTCAAAGTCCTCCACCAGTGCCTCAAAGTCCTCCACCTGCCCCACCAGTGTCTCAAAGTCCTCCACCTGCCTCAAAGTCTTCCACCAGTGTCTCAAAGTCCTCCACCTGCCTCAAAGTCCTCCTCCTGCCCCACCACTGCCTCAAAACTCATTTTTGCCTGACCCAGGACAAAGTTTATAAGTGGCACAGTCGGGTGGGCAGTACAGGGATCTCCAGCAGCCTCGCGGAGAAGAACCCAGGGCCAACACCCCTGACCACCTGGACTCTGGGACACCGGACACTCGGCTCTGTAGAGGACTTTGGTGGACAGGATGTAAAAGTCCTTCTTCTTTATTGTTGACATCTCTGGAGGACAGGGGTGTCAAAGGAAAGGATGCCTCCATTGTGGTCCTGTGGCCAGTGCCTCCCTGAAACGCACAGGGAGCCCGCAGTGCACCTCCCACAGCAGCCTCTGCAGAACCCGCTCAGACCTCACCCCAGTCTCCTGCTTCACCTGATCTGCACTTTTCCAGCCTCGCTCAGTTCTCATATCTGCCAGTTTTATGAGGCCTGCTGCCACAAAAGTCTGAGCGGAGTCCAACAGGCTGCTCCTCACCAGCGGATTAAAATTCTGCTGTTAGAACATCCAGCAACCACACAATTACAATGTCTGAATAACTAAAATATGACAATATCAGAAACAAAAGTGATATGGTTCAAAAGACTTGAAAAGATCGACTTTGACAAAGGACTCATCCCACTGGGAAAACAAACACGGTGGTTTGATGCTAATTTTTTTGGAGGGAAATTCTGGATGCATATATAATCCTCATTACAGCGAAATTTTGTTCAGAAAAAATGAATGAATAAATAAATATTTCAGGGCTGGAGGCATTTTTCCAATAAGTACCAATAAGTGTCTACTACGCCGACTCGAGACCGGTCTAAGCAGCAATAGCCCATCAGGTTATTTGAACAGATCCTTGCTGTCACCCTTTTGCTTTCAGCTTTGCCTCCTTTGGGTTTTGGGGCTCACGTGTGCTGTGTCCATACATCCAGAAACACCAGACCTGAGATCTGAGACCTCAGACCTGGGACCTGAGACCTGAGACCTGGGACCTGGGACCTGAGACCTGCGCACACAGACTCCAGTACAGACCTTCTCCAGGGCCACTCTCACTGAGGTGATGGGGTGGGTCAGGGGCACTGGCTCTGGGGAGCGGGGGCACATCTCCACGGGCTCCAGTCTCTTCAGCACCACCTCTGGACAGAAGAGGAACAACAAATTCACATTTCACAAATGTTTAGTTCATTTAAAGAAACTCTATGTAGCCTCCAAAAGGTAAAAAGGCACAAACACAACTGAACCTGAGCTGTCAGAGTCTCGACCTGCAGATAAAGACACATTCACTGTATTTCCACCAAACCACTCGGGGACTACGCTGCCCTACAAAGGCCAAAGAACTTAACTCTCCAGAGTGTGAAACTGAGAAAAATGACTTTGAAGTTTGTTTTGTCCAGACAAAAGTAGAATACGTAGGGCTCTCAAAATTTACAACTAGTTGCGATAACAAAGAAATATTTGTGAAAAATATTGAGCTCAAAATTGATCTTTCACGTTTTTTGTCAGTTCCTGTTCTCTGCTTTTGTATCGTGAGCCAAAAATAAGTAGTCGTGCAAAGTCCAAAGAAGTTGAGGTGGAAACCCACTGGATTTCAGCTGAAACCAGCAGACTAAAGGCCCGTTCAGACTAAAGGCCCGTTCAGACTAAAGGCCCGTTCAGACTAAAGGCCCGTTCAGACCAGAGCGTCAAAGAGTCCAGTTTATATGCAAAATTTATGTGGACGCGAGTCTGGGGCGCCCTGCGTTTTTTGCGACGCGTCTTTTGGGCGTCAGAGCGGCGTGAATCTGGCGTCGACGTGGTGTGTCTTGAGCGTTCTGAGGTCTAGATGCTCTAGATGCGCATCCAGAGCGTTGGCGTCAGAAGTTGAAAACGCTGAACTCTTCACATCAGACGCACCATGTCAACCAATCAGGGACGAGTATTCTGTGACGTAGCGAAATTATTATCCAATAGAAAGAGAAAGAGAGAGAGCCACAAACATGAGCATAAATATATACGCCGCAATCACCGAACCAATCTCCAAGACTACACCAGGACTGGACCAGAACTAAACCAGGACTAGACCAGGACTAAACCAGGACTAGACCAGGACTGGACCAGTGTCAGCGTGTCATTAGTGCAGTATAAATATCAACACGCCACAGTTGTCAAGCCAATCTCCTCCATTGATGGTTTTATGTAATAAAAACACTAAAGTCTCTCAGCCTGGTCCATTGTTCTGGGAAAAGACCGAGACCGGGCACTTGTTTCAAGGGCAACGGACGCTCGTCAAATATTTTTCTCCTGTTTGTCCACAGCATGCGAGACGCGCGTCAGGGGCATCTAAACTCAAATGCAAAGGCGTCCGTCCAAGGCGTTTTTTGACGCCGCAGTCTGAACGCAGCACTAGAAACTGTTTAGAGCCAGGGGACCCTACACTGAAAAAAACAAACAAACAATATTTATGTTAAGTTTAAGTTGACTTAAATTAAGAACATTTTATTTATATGAGTCGATTCAACTTGACAAGTAAAATGATCTAACAGTGGAATAAGTTTTTGTTTTTTTACTTCAAGCAGCATTCAATTTTGTTTCTTATTTTAAGTGCAAAAAGTAGTTTTTCTTATTTAAAGTGTACTAAGTTGTATTTTCATATTTTACGCACAAAAAGTCTTAATCAACTGGTAGATAACGTGTCCTACCACAATTATGCAGACGACACTCAGATCTACGTCTCTCTGGCAGCAGGAGACTATGGACCAGTGGACTCACTTTGTCACTGCATCCAACAGATCAGTGTGTGGATGCAAAACAACTTTCTCCAGCTAAACTCTGACAAGACTGAAGTCATAGTGTTTGGTCCACAGAAACAAAGGGACAGTGTCAGCAGTCACCTCCAGTCTCTCTCTCTAAAACCTTCAAATCAGGCAAGAAATCTAGGGGTAATAATGGACTCAGACTTGAACTTTAACAGTCACATAAAATCAATAACATCTGCAGCCTTTTACCATCTAAAAAACATAGCAAAAATCAAAGGTTTACTGTCTAAATCAGACTTGGAAGAAACTTATCCATGCGTTTGTCTCCAGTAGGTTAGATACTGTAAAGTTCTGCTCACTGGTCTCTCCAAACGAGCTGTGAGACGCTGCAGAACATCCAGGACGCTGCAGCTCGGGTCCTTACTCGAACTAGGAAGTACGAGCACATAAGTCCTGGTCTCAGGTCTCTGCTCTGGCTCCTGTGCCTCAGAGACTTTAAAACAGCTCTGCTTGTACAAGTGTCTCCATGGCCGAGCACCAAAGTCCATCTGTGACATGTTAGTGTCATATGAACATCTCACACTCTGAGGACCTCAGGGACCAACTCCTGCTGGTGCCCAGAGTCACGACTAAACAAGGGGAGTCAGAGTTTCAGGTTCATGCAGCTAAAACCTGGAACAGTCTGAACATGTGAGACAAACTCTTCTGTGACGCTGTTTAAATCCAGACTCAAAAACATTTCTGTTTAACTGTGCAAATAACTGAAAGGTTTTCATTCCGCACTCTTCTCTCCAATTTATGTCTCTCTTTTTTAATTTTAATCTTCATGATTATTTATGTTTTGATTTGTTTTTATTATGATTTTAATGTATTTCTTATTCTGTAAAGCACTTTGAATTACTTTGTGTACGAATTGTGCTGTACAAATAAACTTGCCTTGCCTTGCCTAGATCAAGTGAAATTGACTCAAATCATGATAAAACTTTAATTCAAGTCATCTTAACTTGACTAGATTTTGTTTTTTGCAGACTTCCGCCACAGTTAACAACATTAATAACTGTACTTTGAATTGACATTTTTCATATACTTTCTACCGCAGATCATGAAGTACAAGTGAAGCTGCCAAATTTGTACTGAAGTAAAAGTACAAAAATTAAATAACAATTACCCCCTACTAGAGTATTTGTAAATAGCTACTTTCCACCCTCCTCCTCTTCCTCCTCTTGTCACGGCTTAAATCCTAATCCTGCCCGTACTATTTCCACAGTCGGGTCTAATCCTCCTGGTCTTGTTCAGGTCTCTTGTGGAGGAGTTACATCACCTGGTCTGAGCTTGGGGAGGCGGTACTGCCAAATGAAGCCGAACGTCATGACCACAGAGAGCACGAAGAAGAAGACCGAGCCCACCACGGACCACTGCAGCTTCATGTCCGCAGATCTGCAAAACCACGAGAACCAGAGCCAGGACTGAGCCAGGGTTAAACAAGGACAAATCAGGGTCTAAAACAGGAATTAAACAGGATTGAATTAAACCAAAAATAAACAAGAACAAAAATGGGAATAGATCAGGACTAAACCAGGACTAAACAAGGACGATGATGGAACTAAATCGGGACTAAACAAGGACAAATCATGGTCTAAAACAGGAATTAAATGGGACTGAAAAACAATTAATCCAAGAATAAACAAAGACAAAAATAGGAATAAAATCAGGACTAAACAAGGACAATGATGGAAATAAATTAGGATTAAACCAGGAAAAATCACGGTCTAAAACAGGAATTAAACCAAGAATAAACAAGGACAAAAATGGGAATAGATCAGGTCTAAACCAGGACTAAACAAGGACAACGATGGAAATAAATCAGGACTAAACCAGGGCTAAACAAGGACAAATCATGGTCTAAAACAGGAATTAAACAGGACTCAAAAGGAATAAAACTAAGAATAAACAAGGACAAAAATGGGAATAAACAAGGACTAAACAAGGACAAATCATGGTCTAAAACAGGAATTAAACAGGACTCAAAAGGAATTAAACTAAGAATAAACAAGGACAAAAATGGGAATAAACCAGAGCTAAACCAGGGCTAAACAAGGACTAAACCAGGACTAAACAAGGACTAAAAGAGGACTAAAACAGACAAACTACATCTATAAAATATTCAGTACATAAACTTGTAGTACCAGTACGAACAAAGAATAGAGAGACTTACCACAGAAATGTTGATGTTCAAATGTTCATCGACGATTGGCTCATGTCTGCCTGGATGAAGCTCTGTGCTGATGGACCGATTTGTTTGTGGTTTGGTCCTAGTCTGGTTCTGGTTTGGTCCTGATCTGGTTTCGTCTTAGTTTGGGTCTGCTCCTGGTCTGTTCCTGCTCTGGTCTTGGTTTGGTTGTGGTCTGGCCCCGGTTTAGTTCTGGTTTGTTTGTGATCTGGTTCGGTCCTGGTCTGGTCGTGGTTTGGTTCTGTCTGGTCCTGGTCTGGTCGTGGTTTGGTCTGGTCCTGGTTTGTGCCTGGTCTGATCCTGGTCTAGTCCTGGCTTGTTCCTAGTTTGATCTTGGTCTGATCCTGGTTTGTGTCTGGCCTGGTCCTGGTTTGGTTGTGGTCCGGATTGGTCCTGGTCTGGTCCTGGTCTGTTTCAGTCCTGGTTTAGGTTCTAGTTTGGTTGTTGCCTGGTCCTGGTCTGTTCCTGGTCTGGTTTGGTTGTGGTTTGATGTCTGGTCCTGGTCTGTTTCAGTCCAGGTTTATTTTCTGTTTTAGGTTCTGGTTTGGTTGTTGCCTGGTCCTGGTCTGATCCTGGTCTGGTCCTGGTCTGCATGTGGTCATCAGTGCTCCTACCTCAGCACTTAATCCACTTGACCACCAGGCCGCGCCCACTGTGATGTCATAATCTGATCCAGGACCTTTTCCCGTCCAGCCAGAACCTCTCGCTTCGACAAAACTTGACAAAGACGTGTGGGGCTGCATCTCATTCCTCTTTCCTCGCTTCCTTCTCCTTGATTCCTTGATTCTGCAGGAAATGGGTGAGGAAGTCCTGCCTACAGAGGAGACACAGCGAGGAGAGAGGAACTAAACTCCTCCAATAGATCTTTTTCACAACGGCCAGAAGTGCCCCATTGTAGGTTTGCGGAACTTCCGGTCAGTGGTTTTCTGTGGTAAAATGTGTGTGTAAATGTTTGTCGTATTCTCCAGCTGCTTCACAAATCTGCCCCATCACCAAATCTTCAACCAACAAGCTCCACAAAGGATAAACATTCTAACATGAAGAATTTATCCACAACTATCAAGAGAAGAAAGACGAAAGCTTAAGACAAACTCGGACTGGCAATCTGTACGACCGGTGGGTTAGTCCACATTGGGCCGGTCCCCCACTCCAGGTCTTCAATTTTGACTGGCCCGAAATACGCGGTAGCCCCTCCCTCCCCACAGACAGGCCTAGGCCCACCCAAACCCCCCAGATAAGTTTCATAATATATCGTGATGTTTAATGTGTGAAGAACTCGTGTAAACAGGTTCGATCATATTTTGGTGCAACAGTGCAGACTTAGGAACTCTTCTGCCTCACTCATGGTCCAAACAAACCGACCGAAAATGACTCCTGTCACTCACCCCAAAGAACATAAAGCATAAAGCATTGTGGCCAAGTTTATAGGTCGATACAGTATTTTAATTGTCAAGTATTATTAAAAATCTGAAAATAATCACATAATTTGTGCTAAAATAGTCAAAATATGTATTTTTTTCTTTAATAAAAAAGTTTTTTTATGTGGATGTTTGTGCACATGTTCAGCAGACAGTGACAGAGCCGCGGCTCTTCCTGTTCTCAGTTTACGGTGCATCCGCTGTGTTACAGACAAATAATCCATCTATTTTATACGGCAGGGGGGTTCAAACTTTTTTCATCAAGGGCCACAAGTCTAAACACAGACGAAGCAGAGGCTGATCGAGGGTCGTAGACTGATGATCAGTACAGTGAATTATTAAAATCTGTGCATGTTTAACATGTTAGAACAGGGTCGACAAACTTTTTGGCTCGTGGGCCACATAGGGTCCTAAAATTTGACTGAAGGGCCGGACAGAAGACAGGACATGACGGGTTAAGAGCTCGACTGCATTATATTTGTATTTACGCTTATGTAGAAAGTGCACTACACGCTACAACACTGCCACGAAAGACTCAGGACATGTGGAAAGTTAATAGATCCACTCTACAGCAGGGAAAGCACAGGCAAACAACTGACTTTCACTTATAAACAGAGTCCTCGCCACAGAGTCGCACACACCTACACTTGCTATACACAAAGACTCTTCAAACTTTCCACGTGTTATAATTTACAACACAGATTCTATTAACTTTTTGTTGTTAACTTTTACCAACTCAAAATGGAAGCAGTGCAGTTTTATATCTTGAACACCACTACTTCACGCATGGTCCGAATAACTCCTGTAAGAACACTTTCCCATAAAGCATTGCAGCCAACATAATACGCCGCACCTCAATATATATATATTGTGCGCCATCTACTGGGAAACGCCGGAAATGCATGAAAAATAAAACATCAACAAGGTTTATTAGTGTAATTTATTCTAGTTCGATGGGCCGGATTAAAAAAAGTATTTTTATAAGAGTCAGTCTTTTCAAAAGCAGTAAATTTGGGCCAATTCACCTGGAAGCCTGAGGGCCAAGAAAAACTTGTTGTAGGGCCACATTTGACCCTCGGGCCATAGTTTGGACATGCCAGTTATATGGAAACTGGAGTTTCTCGTTTTAAAATGGAGTGTGATGCAGAAATTTCATGATTTCCTGTATGGTACAGAATTTGTCGTGATAACAGACAACAACCTTCTAACAGATTTCCTGACCTCTGTAAAGTTGGATGCAGCCAGCCACAGACCACCTTGTCAACATCAAACTTCAAGCTCCAATATTGCGCTGGCAAAAAGAACCTTGATGCGGACGCTCTGTGGAGACGGCCCCATGACAAAAACTTAGATATTACGTCTGTGTTTGCAAATTATATACAGGATCATTGTGCTACACCAGAAATAACCAAACCACAAACCATCATCGCACAAAATAAAGCAGATTCGTGAGCAAGACTCTGTTGTGACGTATTGACTGGAATCTTGATGCAAATGGGTGATGTTAACACTGTCTGGAGTTATTTCCATAAAGGATTAACTACAGTCCTGGATAAACATGCTCCTTGGTCCTTGGCTCAGTTAATGTCATATTAAAATGATGAAATGTAAATATGTGGGCTGTTTGTCTGCACGTTTTACGATGAACCAGACTCTTGCTCTTTAACATTGACAACTCGCAGCTGTCATTAGCGCATTTGTTTTCCTTCACAGCAAACAAGAGATCATAAAAGTAGTGCTAATATTACAATCGCCTCTCTCAAAATAAAGTATTGCAAAGTCGAGGAATTGGAATAACTGGAGATCTGAAATTAACTTGATTCTAACCAAATCTCCCTTGATATATCCTACGACTGTGTTTGTAAATGATACAGACTACAGGACCATTGTGTCACTGCTGCAGGGAAAATAACCAAATCTCAAATCATCATCGCACAAGATTAAGCCTTTGTTTTGTACATATTTGACTGGCATCATGATGTAAATGGGTGATGTGGACACTGCCTGGAGTTATTTCCATGATGGATCGATTACAGTCCTGGATGAACATGCTCCTCGGTTTAGCTCAGACGTGGCTCATCGGATCATTTCATTAAACACACCACAGAAAGTCAGAAAGTCTAAATAACCCCGTCATAAACTTCCTGAATGAAAATAAATCAGACTTTAACTGTGACTGTGCACTATTTAGAGCATTTATGGTGGGTTCTGGGGGGTCGTCCTCTGCAATATTTAACAAAAATCAAACAAAAAAAACCCAAAAAGATTCTGATGTCACCAACATCCCCTGGAGGTGTGATGTTAATCTAGACTCTGCTCTGTCTGAAGCTCTGTTACTCAAGTTAGACTTTAATCTGAGCTTTGTGTTAAATCTCCACCACTTGCTGCGGCCTTCCTCAGAGTCTCGTGATGTTTCTGTGACTTGTCGCTCAGCTGATTTAAACAGGTTTTGGTGCTGTCTTCCTATTGGTGGAGGCAGGACAGCGCCGTCTGCAGTCCGACTTCCTCAGGACAGTATCTCAGGGGTGTGAGAGTAAAAAAGCCCCTCATCCCGGTTTATCGTCCGTGGGCACGTTTCTGTATTTCAGTTTTGACAGTGTTTGTTTCCTTCTTCGTCATAAAGCGAAACACGAACAACAAAACACAAAGCAGAACAGGAACAACTCAAATCGGCCATTTCTGTAAAAGAGAGAACTACGTTATGGACTGGGACGAAGCACTCCACTGGAGTGTGTTTTTGGATTTTATTCACTGTTTTCCTCATATGAGTAACAAGAGCGCACACACAAGGCTCATATAGTAAAGTCGTGCATGTGCACGCACATAAGCAACCGTGCCGTGCTTTGGCCGATCTCCCCCAACCGGGCCAAAGTCCGGCACTTAGTGCAAACTAAGCGTTTAAAAACTGCTTTATCCCAGCAGCTGTTTATTGTCTCAATAAGCTGTAAATGAGTCCTTCATTCTTCATGTTATTCTTTTATTGACATCTGTAGCACACACTGGAGGGACTATGTCTCTGAGCTGGAAACACCTCAGGACCCCCCTGGAAGAGCTGGAGCAAGAGTGTGTGGAAAGGGAAGTCTGGAACTCTCGACTCAGACTGCTGCCTCCACGACCTCGCCCCGGATAAAGTGGAAGAAAATGGATGGATGGAATGATTTAGTTTGTTTTGAGTGTTTTTGTTTGTAAAACTAATTCTACCTTTTGGTATAAATAAAGTTTCCTACCTACACAGGCTCAGCTGTGCCTTTTGTCATGATCATTTCTTCTGCTACCTGATACAGATGTAACTCAAGCACAGATCTGTTTTACATAAAGTCAAAACAGAGTCAAGCTGTATAACATATAAATCCTGAACAAGGATTCAACGAGGATCACAAGACCAAGAAGATTGGATCATGGAGGCACTATTTCTGCTCACAGTGGGATCATTAGGTAAGTACTGCATCTGACTATCTACTGCAGGTTTTCTATCAAATATTTCAAATAAATAAAACTGCTGGGCCATATTTGTAACTTAGTTCAAATAGATGATCTTTAAGTCTTTATTTGTCTCTGTCTCTGATGGAATTACATCCATAGATTTATATGTGACTTCTCAAAATGTATTTCACTCCCACAGGGACATAAAGATCACCTCTTAATGTAGCACCTACACACACCAAACTTTACAGTTTTGTACATAACACGATTTTGACAGATTGTACAGAAGGATTTTGATATCTAAATTTAAGACTGATTTATCAAAGATTTAACTGAAAAATAAGATATGCAAAACACACAACTCCAGGTCTGTTTATGAGGAGGAAACAACATTATAACATAGATCAGCTCTTTCTTGTTGACAGCAGCCATGCGGTTAACAAAGAAACATTTTTCTGATTAGTAAGTGAGATGACTAGTCTAACAGTGGTCCCTGCTCCTCTCTCAGCCCTGGCTCCAGTTTCCTCTCGACACTTCGTCTTTGTCTATGAGCTGAAGACCCAGGAGGAGGCGCGGAGCTACTGCAGACAGCACTACACCGACCTGGCCACTGTGGAGAACATGGAGGACGTACTCACCCTAAACGATGGTCGACCGGAGCAGACTGCAGCTGCTCCAGCCTCCACACGGATTCCTCAATGTAAGTGTAGAGACATTAACGGGAGTGAGCCTTAAGGCGGTCACTCAGCGCTATGCTCGTCCTGAGTCGGCCACCACCACTTTTTTGCTAAACTCGTTGTAGTTAAAACGCTCATGGTTAACAGTTGGCAAACTCATTCTACACAAGGAAATCTACTTCTGTGGTAACTTTCTCTTTACATTTCATTAAATAATCCAAGTTTGAAAGTAGTTTGGAAAAAAATGCGTCAGGATGACGGATCATTTCATTCAACACACCACAGAAAGTCTAAATAATCCCTTCATATTTTGGAAGATAATAAACGTTAATGATGATAAAAGTTTAACATGAACCATCACCAATGTGATAGAAGCACAGAACAGACTCACAATCAGCAGAACATCCCTCTGTCACAGAAAGAACACTCCAGCCATGCGGTTTTAAATTTTGTTTCTGTAAAACATAAAGAAATATGCGCAAAGCTGTGTAGATAGGGAAGACCACCTACAGCGCCGACCGCCCACAGCGCCGACCGCCCACAGCGCCGACCGCCCACAGCGCCGACCGCCCACAGCGCCGACCGCCCACAGCGCCGACCGCCTACATTCTTCTAGTGTTTTGTCTTCTTTAAAGCACAGAAACAGGGTGCAGGTATGATGATTTGAGAACATCAACATCTGAAGATTTTCTAATAACCAACTACCAACCACAGGGCGAAAGTTTTGACAAATAAATAAACACCAGAGAGGTGAGCGCGATCTGGCTTGAATTGTTAGTGGTCGGGTCAGGGCAACACTCGAGTTAGTTAAAACCTCACAGTTTCCTGTTTTTCAACCAGCACCACAAAACTACTTGGTAAAAAATGTATTCATCAAATATATTGTTGGAAACAGAAGGAATTAAACTATTTTTACTATAACTAACTAACTTTACTAACTATAGTGTTTCACACTAGTAGTTTTAGTGAAATGTTTAAATAAGCAATTTTATGGCTTGTTGAAGGTAAAACAATAAAATTTTCAGCCAGACGTGTTCAACTTAGGCGCACATACATTAGAGGTCGTGGTGCTGGGGTGGATGTAGCACTGGTAGAATTAGTAGTACTGGTAGTATCAATAAAACTGTTCTAAAAGTTGTAGTAGCTGGAATCCATGAAAATCAGCCTCCTGAGAGAACCAAAAGGACAGACAGATGTATTGACCTGACACACACACGGTGTCGTATTTTAAAGACTTGAGTGTTCAGATGTTGTGTGGTCCGTGTTCACAGCGTACCTGGATCGGGCTGTATGATGATGTCAACACTTGGAGCTGGTCCCTGTCAGACCCGACCTACTACAGCGAGGGACAGGAGAACTACAGGAACTGGGATCCTGGGCAGCCAGATAACAACGGCGCAAACCAGTTCTGTGCCTGGATTTCTTCCATCGGACTCTGGAAAGACTTTAAATGTCACTATGGATTACGGGCCATCTGTGTGAATCTGACAGGTGAGACTCTGAGCTGAGACAGTCATTGTAGTCAATCAATCAATCAAACTTTATTTATAAAGCACTTTTCATACAAAAATGTAACACAAAGTGCTTTACACAGATTAAAAACAATCCCGCATTTCCATTCACCCACCAACCCAACCCCCACAGCTGCCCGACTCCACACAACCAAACATCACAGACACCCAAAACAGGACTCTGGGTTGGGTCACGTTGGTCATGTGATTTTGCAGTTATCACGACAGCCCTAGTGGAAACCAGACTGAAATCCCTCTGTATAAAATATACAGATATCAGAGATCATTCTGGATTTGACAGACAAGTAATCTCACAGTTAAACAGCAAATTCTACCACAGACTTCTGAGCTGTCCTCCAGTTCAGTTAAACTATGGAGATTCTAGGATGTTGTGATGTCACACAAATGTCTCAGAGTAAATCCAAACAGGTCTTATCTTATTCATGTGTGTGAAACTCTGACAGACTGATTTCTGTTACGTCCCAGGATCCTCAGAGACCTTTGTGCTCACTAATGCCTCCTTCACCTGGGAGGAGGCTCAGCAGTACTGCAGGCAGCACCACACAGACCTGGCCAGTGTGAAAGACGCAACCCAGAACAGCCAAATCGCAGCCCTGATCCCCACTGGCTACGCCTGGATCGGCCTCAGGAGGCAGCCCTGGAGGTGGCTGGACGGGAACAACTCCACTTTCTCCTTCTGGAAAACCCTGCAGCCTGATAACTATGAAAAACTCGAGCACTGTGTGGTGGCAGACTTTGAGTCTGGAGGAAGATGGGAGGATTCAAACTGTGACAAGATGAGGCCTTTTATCTGTTACGTCCGCCCTGGTGTGTATCTTGTTATTCTTCAAAATATGAATTTAAATGACTTGGATTCTTGATTTTCACTAATCAAAGGACCAATTTGTTTCCAAAACAACTCACTTTGAACTGAAGTCATTTTAACTCAAGAAGATAATTGTACACCAAACAACAGCAGAAACATACTAACTACACAATTATTGAATCATTTGTTCTTTTGTTTCAGTGAAGAAATACAAGATCAAACTACAACTGAACACAACCACTGCAAATCTAAATGACCCTGTGGTGATGGAACAACTGCTCCAGCAAGTGAGTCACATTAGTGGCACATAAAGGCAGAGCTTCATCTGTATTAAAGGAGACGCACTGTGCAAAATTGACTTTTCAGAGCTTTTAATCATGTTATAGTGTTTTTTACCCTCTCAAAGTTGTATTTAGAGTGATTCATGCATGTTTGAGGAACCTTTATACATATATGTATAAGACGTCAATGCTCCGATCAACCCCGGCCACCGCTACACACTAGTGCTGTCACCACACGCAAACTTCAAACTCAATTTCAAAACTAAGAGATTGATTCAATACTCCATACATATTCTGATGCCACAATGACCTTAAAAATGCTCCCTTTTTACTAATAGAATACACAAAATTGCTTTTTATTTATTTTACCATGAGATAGTTGTTCTTGATGAAGCTGTTTTGTCCCGTTGATGTGATTTTATTTCTGTACTGATACTTGCTCAAAGGAGTATTTACTTCAGTATCTGGTTTTCAGTATTTTTCACAATCCTAGTACAAGCTCACTGATCAGTATTTCATCCCCTGATTTTTTTTCCTTCATCGGTGATTCACGTATTATTTACCAGAGTTGCAAAGTCATTTAGGCAGAAATGAAAATGGGTCTTGTGTCAGTGCCTCAGCATTTTCTGCAGTCCCGGTCTAGTCCTGGTTTAGTCCTGGTCCGGTCCTGGTGTAGTCCTCGCGATCGGCTCGGTGATTGTGGTGTATATATTTATGCTCCGCTCATGTTTGTGGTTCTCGCTCTGGTTCTCGCGTCTTTCTTCCTGATAATAACGTCGCTGCATCACTGGATACTCATCCCTGATTGGTGGCGCGTCTGACGTAAAAAGTTCAGCATTTTCAACTTCTTGATGCTGACGCCTTGGACGCGCGTCCAGAGCGTCGATGCCAAAACGCTCAAGACACACCGCGTCGACACCAGATTCGCACCTCGTTGATGCCCGAAGATGCGCCGCAAAAATGCAGGACGCCCTAGACGCGCGTCCACATCGACTTTACGTAGAAACTCGAGGCTTTGACGCTCTGGTCAGAACACCCCGTTACTGAGAGCCTTCACTCTCAATGACACCAAGTCATCGAGTGTTTTGCCTCGTGGCCTTTTTCACCCTGAGGACCTGGGCTCAAACAAAAGGGGTTCATCTCTAGTTTTAGGTGCTGTTATTTGTTACTGTGGAGCCCAGATACAAAAGCTGTTTACATGTTCAGTGTGTGTGCCCAGGCTCACTTCCTCTTTGGAACACAGCCGTCTATGGCTGCATCAGAACAAGTATAAAACCACATATACAGGACGACTGAGGGATTACACAGATATAAGACCACACGGTAACAGAAAAGAAACTTCTACCATTTAATGATGAAAATGACATTCTGTTATCTAAAAAAGTGTTTTTTATTATCATTGTGGCAACAAATCAGAATATTGAGAATCAAGTCTATTCTTTAGTATCAAAATCAAGTTTAAATTTGTAGTATTGTGACATCACTAGGTGGGGGCAGGGGAGAATAGGCACATTGAGCTCTGCAATTTTCCAACAAGGAAATCAGCCGACTTGTTTGTTTGTTTTACGTTGATATTGTGATTTAAAATGTGTAAATTACAACATAATGATCCACCGGTGTCAAAGATTATAAATATAATATGTCTTCTTTAATATCTAACACACAATGAATTTAAATGTTACAAATTATGATTTTAATTTATCATTTTTTTAGATCGCTCTACACGTGGGGAGAGCCAACGCCACTGATCTGCTCAAACTCAGCTGGGTTAAAGACGCCAACGGAAATGTTTTTAACAAAACAACCACCCCGTAAAAATGTACTGAGAACTAGAGATGAACCAATGAACCACATACAGACCATCGAAAACATCTCTGATAGACTAGAGTGAAACTTTCAAACCTTTATTTCAGGACATTTTGATTATTATGGCTCACAGACAATGAAGAAAATCTAAAATTCTGTGTCTCAAAATTAGAATAGTGTTAAAAAGTTCAATATTGGGAAGTCGTGGTGTCACACTCTAATCAGCCAATTAACTGAAAACATCTGCAAAGGTTTCCTGAGCCTTTAAATGGTCTCTCAGTCTGGGTCAGTGGGCTGCACAATCACTGACCCTCTCCACAAGAAGAACGACACGAAAAGGTCACAGAGTCCTGTATCCAAGTAAATTCATAAAAACAAGTGAAAGAAAAAAAAAGGGAGGCAAAGGTGCAGCAGGAATTCAGACCAAAAAGCCAAACCGAGTGTTGAGAGCAGAGAAATGAACACACTTTTCAGAAGCCGGACATTTCTGTTTAATGTTTTTATCTTATGTAATATTCTATTTTTCTGAGACACAGAATTTGGGGTTTTCATGATCTGTAAGTCATAATCATAAAAATGTCAAGAAATAAAAACTTCAACACTTGTGTTTATATAATATATGGCAGAGGTGTCAAACTCATTTTGGTCCAGGGGGTCGTATCCAACCGACTTTGATCCCAAAGGGGCCGGATCAGAAAACTCATGTCATATAAACCCCAAAAATAACAATAAATTCAAATATTTGTGCAGAGAAACACAAATCTATTACAGAAATATTTTTTAATTGATGAACTCTTTCTTTTACAAAATATTATAATATTATGAACAACCTGAAACTTTAAGAAAAATAAAATTTCAACACAAAGTTTTAACATGAACTTGTGTGTAAATAGGAATAAGTCAATTTTTCTTGGAAAATCCTGCACTTGGCTCCACTTTTCTCATGTTGGACATTTTTCTGATGAGGGTGTCACGGTCAACAGTCAAAACGATCGTCCTTTAAGAGCGTTTGGAAAGAGACAAGTCTTCATTTGTGCTGCTCTGGTGGGAGGGGCCACGTACAGAGACGCTGGAGACGCTGCTGTGATAAACACTGCAGAAAATTACCAATATTTTAATAGAAAATATAATTAAAATATTTTAGTAGAAAATCAGCCAAGGGCCAGATTAAAGGTCTTGGAGGGCCGGATCTGGCCCCCGGGCCTTATGTTTGACACCTGTGATATATGGGGTTGATTTTGTGAAATAAGTGACAAAAAATATAAATTTTTTCATGATATTCTCATTTTCTGAGATGGTCTGTACATCTCTCCCTCCTCTGTACCAAATATTCTTAATATTATTCATCCTGGTTGTGAATTTACTTTATTACATTTTCTATTTTATCTTTACTTGCACATAAACATTTATATAATTAAGCTGTATTTGACACTCGTCTCTTACTATATTTATAATGTGTGAGTTACTGTGTGTAATTAATTTTCCTTGTGGATCAATAAAGTTTGTCTAAAGAGTCTAAAGAATGTCATGAATAAATAAAGAATATTATCCACCCAAAAGGATCAGAATATAAATCTATAATAAAAACTACAAAACAAGAGTTTCTCTCCTCTTCTAAACCACAATAAAACCTGCAGCCTGTTCAAGTTAATGCAACAGCACCACCTACAGGTTTTAAGAAGTAATACAGGATTCTTATCATGTCACAAAATGACTTTATTTATTAGTTCAGTTTCTCCATCTTCAGACACAGAATATCAGGTTGGCTCAAATGCCAAATGTAAAGGAAAGTTTTCAAAAGCACAGAGAGCATAAAGTCTGGACTGCCACAAAATTAAAGGAGAACTGTGTCATTTTTAGGAGGAGAGTCTGTCACCATGGAGACGTAATTTCTTTACCTGTTATATTCCACAGTCCAGTATTAAACTTATCTATCTTGCATTTATTTAGTTACAGATGTTTAATATTGCTCAATAAAACCTTTAAAACATTGTTACAGATGGAGGGGTCCTCCTCTCCACAGATCTTCCCCCATCAACCCAAAACATGCACCATAGTTAAACTCCTCCAGCTGAGGTCGTCCTGACCAAGACCAGCTCAAGATCTGCAGATTTGGCCCAGAGGTTCTGCAGGATGGGTCAAATGCAGACGACACATTTTACTACAGGGACAATAAAGTGAATCTTAACCTTTAACCAGTTGTGATTGTATTTCCTTTTTTAAAACAGTAAGAGCTCAGGACACATACAGCTCATTTAAATCATTTTACTCCAGTAGAAACACAGGGTAGATGTTGCAAGAAACTACTCAAGTAAAAGTAAAAAAGGATTGTGGGGGAAATTACTACTCAAGTAAAAGTAACTTAAAGGGACAGCTCGACTTATGAGGTTAATTATGAGGTCTGACTTTTTTGAGGGTTAGGGTTTTGTGATGCAAATGTATCTCTCTTTTGAACACATATTGTTTTGAGAAGAAAAACGCTTTATTTTAATGTCCCCAGCCAACTTGCCGGACGACTTTCATCAACACCAAAAACAGCCAGTATCTCAGCTCACCGGACGCTGTCGGGGGTAAGTCAGTGTGGATGCACGACGCTGCTCATGGGGATGACATACAGATTCATGTCAGAAAAAACTAAACGAACTATCCCTTTAAAGGGGAACTGTCAGTCTGTAACATCTGATTTATAATTTAAAGTTGATGTAACTAGAATGACAAAACATGAACATAGTAAACAAAATCTAGTGTAGAGACAAAGTGAGAATAAGTCAATTATATCTGACATAATAATACAGTCAACATAAAGCTTTTGTCACTTTAGACTCACAGTGGGAAGAGGAAGCACATCTTTTACTCGAGTAAGAGTACTGTTACACTGTCAGATTAGAGTGACCGGAAGGTGCAGCATTTTTAACTCAAATCCCGCGTCACAAACGTAGCAGCAGACAGCACCTGCTCGGTGTCGGGGTGAGTGTGAGAATGTGTGACCCCGGAGCAGAGACACCACCACAGAGCAACATGCAGCAGAGTAAATGCATTAAAACACACCGGCAATGACAATCCGCTGTGGTCGTGACCGTACCAGCTCATCAAAGTCTGATCCCGTCAGATCGCAGAAGCTCCGCAGGGCCGGACCTGGTCAGGACTTGGACCACAGGGAAAATCAGTCACAAAAACTGCTGTTGTGTCCTTAGGCAAGACACTTCACCCACATTAAGTGGAGTGTCTGTGAGTGATGTTGGTGGTGAAAGAATAATCTTCTATAAAGCGTCTTTGAGTGTCCAGAACAGCTCAATATAAAACTGATGCATTATTATTATTGTTATTAAACAATCAGCTTCTGCTGTAAGTCCCCAGAGTCCGGCTCAAACTCTGGGGTGATCGAGTTTTCTCTGTCGCTGGCCCCAGACTCTGGAACAAACTGCCCTCCAATATGTGCATCATCACAGACTTTGTCCTGTTTAAATCCAGGCTCCAAACTCTTCTATTCAGACTGACTTTTAACACTCAGTAATGTAGAGACACTTTGCACAATTTGATTTATGTCATTGTTTCACATTTTGTATGATTTATATTGTATTGATTTTAATGTGAAGCACTTTGGTCACCTTGAGTGTTATAACGGGATCTATAAATAAGTTTGATTGATTGATTGAACGCCTCGTATCCTCCTGGTCGCACCTATTGACTTCTGTGACCTGCTGTAGTCTGGGACAAAATTCTCCGTGTGTGTACGGTAAATGTAGTGACTGTCAGAGTGAAGATGGCTGCCGGGAGCAACACACACTGAGATCGACTCCCAGTAGTTCCCATTTTATAATCTAATCTACGAAAAAAACACCCTGTTCTAAGGTTAATTTAACCGAAGGACAACCACATTGGTGGATTAGTGGAGGTGAAACTAACTTTACGCACATGCATGTATTTTGAGAAGAGGAGACACCGAAGTGGTAACCATTGTTAGCCACCATGTCAAAGAGGGGATCTAAAGGCTTTTGTGAGCAACTGTCCTCCTCCGAGGCTGATGAACAAACTACCTTTACCCCTGCAGACCGTCAGATGTTGCAGGAGATGGCTGAACAACTTTAAAAAACTGGACATTTTGGATGAACTAAAGAATGATGTTGTGTTGAGGTGAAAAGTCAGTGGAGTTCAACAGCAAGTAAATTCAGGAGATGGAAAAGGAACAAGAAACAAGTGGCTGGTTTGACACAACTAGTAGCCTGACAACTGAAAATGAGAAGCTAAAGTCGGCACTGCTGGATCTCTGCTGCAGGAGCATGCGGGACAATCTTCATGTTGTAAAGTTCACTAGCTCCAAGGGAAAAGATGAAAAGATGAAGTGCTACAGGCAGTGTCGACATTTGCATCATGATGTGAGTCAAATATCTACAAACAAAGGCTGCCTCATGAAACTGCCTTATCACGTGTGATGATGAATTGTGGTTTGGTTATTTCTGGTGAAGCACAATGGTCCTGTATAGAATTTGCAAACACAGCCGTAGGAGATTTTGAGAGAGATTTATATCTATTAAAGTTGAAAATATCTACTAAAAAGTTAAAAGACACCAGGTTCTTCATGACAAGTCAATATCCCGTCGAGGTTGTTGAAAGGCGACATAAGCTAGTTCCAATTATGAACTCCTTCAGGCAAAAAGGGCAGAAAGTTCACCTCATAGTCGATAAACTGTATGTGAATGTTGAATTGTACAGATGTGATGAACATTAACAAAGTCGCACAGTGATTACGTCATCGTGACATTGCTATGGTAACGACTACGGACTTAACAAGACGATCGGAGCCACTCAGTTTACTTTGGGACTGGACAATGGATAAAATGGGAAATGCTTTATTGTTTTTCTTACTTTGGGGGATGTGTATGTCTCTGTTGTATGTTTGTATGTCTTTGTTATGTTTGTCCTGTTATATATTTTGTTTATTAGATGTAGTTGTGAAACAGAACTCAGTTATGACAAAGTTTATTTTAATGATAATGAAAATGAGATAATGAGATAATAAAATGTGTAATGAACACTTTGAGGCCTCATGGTTTATGGAACTAAGGACAATGAAGTTGGGATAATTAGTTATAACTGCAATGGCCTTGCAGATAACAAAGAGAAAACTTATATTTATGTGGCTAAAGAGTAAACCACAAGACATGTTTTGCCTTCAAGAGATTCACTCGACAAATACGGACGAAGAAAAATGGAAAAAAAGAGTGGGTTGGTCCTATTTTCTTTTCACATGGCAACAGTAACTCAAAAGGTGTTATGATATTGGTAAAGAAGCATTTTAATTTCCAATTAGGATCAGTAGAAAAGGATCCTCAAGAACGTTGGCTTATTCTTAGTTTAACAATTCAGACACAAAGAATGTGTTTGGTGAATCTGTATGGACCATGTAGATGAATCTTTGTTTTTTGATGGGATATGGGTAATAAGTTATTGGAACAACAGGGGGAAATTATTACAGTGGGAGATTTTAATGTTGCCTTAGATAAAAAATAAAAAATAAAGTGAAAGAAAAGGAAATACTTCAATAAATCACCATTCTCAGTCTTTACAAAAGATTAATAACATTATGGATGCATTTGACCAAACTGATATCTGGAGATTAAAAACCCTAAACTAACAAGATACACACGGAGAAGACAGAATCAAGGACGTCGTATTGATTATTTTCTGATTCCAATCTCCATGATAATGTTACAGCAATATCAACTGAAGACAAATTACGTTCAGACCATAATTGTATAGGGTTAAATTCTGTTAAATGCTACTACAAGATGGTGAATTTATTTATTTACAAAAGTTTTCATTAATGATTTTGTTAAATATAATGAAGGTTCTTCAAACCCCCTCATGTTGTGGGAAACGCTGAAATGTAGCTTTAGGGGACATGCCTATTCATCATGGAAAAGGAAAAAACTGAAAGTAAAAGAATTAGATCTAAAGAAGGAGATTGAAGAATTATACCAAATAATAGATGTAGTGACTGGGAGCCTCTCCACTTCCTGTCCAGTTGGGCTTTTTGCCGAGTGACACTAAAATGAACAAATATTTCAAGATAAGACAGTGGGCACCGAGCTGAGGGCGGGTGTCACTTCACAAATGTGATGAAAACTTGAGCAGACACACTGTTTTTAGAAAAGTCTGTGTCTCGATACTA